ATAGGAATAGTTTAAATAGATCTGCTCATAAAATACTCTTCTAATGGTACAATGGAAGTAAAAATGAATAAATAGCCACTGACTATGTGGGGGAAGAGTACTCTGTAAAAAACAGTTAACTCACCACACACGTGCCCGTACCTTGCACACACACAGAGGAAGAAAGTTTAAAATTAAGAAAAGTGCAAAAAATTAAAAACAACCACACACTGTTATGGGACAGAGAGAGGTGCACGTGGCCTATACTCGCCGCTGAAGCCTCACTCCTAGAACGGCCGCTCGCGCCACTTACGTGTCTGATCCTAATAAAACACAAACAACAAAAAAAGATAATTTCACAAGATCCTAAGAATCACAAACTACCATCAGACTAGTAAACTCCTGGGAGAAACCAAAAAATACACAAAGAGTGTAAATTATTGAAATATAACCCAGTTATAGGAAAACACTCAGGAAGCATTACTTGGTTAAGCGAGAAAGCTAGTATGCAGCACGGCCAACACCTCCAGCAACTCCGTATCTCCTCACAGGCCTGCGCGGCCGCCGCGGCGGGGTGCTGGTGCTTTTGTTTTGATTCCTCTCCAGGCCTGGGACAGTAGCCATCAGTGACTCACACATACTGGCTCTCGGCTGACTTAGGCCTCTTTTTCATCTTCAATGAGTTTCCTCTTGTTTTTCCAGATACAGTCCATGGATGAAATACCGGTGTTATTGTCTCAAAGTTTCCTGGACCTGTTCAAGGTCAGGAGCCAGTTGTTTACAAGTAAGCAAGGGGATTTTATAAAGAGTTTGTGTTTGCACCGGGGTTGATTGCACTGATGCAAAGTGAAATCCCCAAACAATACAAAGCCTCGCTTGTCAGTACCAGACACGGATTGAAGAAACGTTGTATAGGGTGGAAGAGAAATGTCAGCTGTTGCAGCCACAGCTGCCATTCAGATAGAAATTGATAATAGCTCTGCCCCAATGTGCTTATGTTTGGTCTCTTTTCAAATCACAATGAATTCTCCGGTCTCATCGGCATGCACAGTACAGTCACTGTGGTGCTGAATTTAGCCCAACAAACTGCTCTCACACTTAACCGAAGAAACCAAAGGAGGAAACAGAGAGTCATGTGAAAATTACAGGTCTATAGGTGTTAAAGATTGGACGTAAAAGAGTGAGGAATGTAACACTGACACAACCGTAGCTCTAAAATGATTGGAAAAACAAAGCACAGTAACATGCTGTGGGATGTATTCTAGTAAGCATGTGATCTAAAACCAAATAGAGAAAGAAAAAGAAGAAGCAGTAGCTGACAAACCACAAAGTGACTAGACAGACGCACAAGGTTCCTCCTTTCCCCTGTACGTCGAAAAAAAAGTTGATCAGTTCGGGTAGTTTAAGCAACGTGATATCACAACTTGCGGGCTCTCTTCTTTCATAGTCGTCATTCGCGTGTCACTATCCCCCTCAACGCTTCTTTGAGTTCAATATGAAGTGTGTATGTGTGGCTCATCATCACCACAGATGAGTTACTTCTACCTTCTTGGATTGAGAGTAAGAGGCCTTTGAGGTGGAGAGAGTGTGGGCAACAAGTGAGAATATTTTGAACTGCGTCAGATAAAAGCAACTCTGTATACCATGAGCCGACTTACTATATAGATAAGATACTCAAAGTCAGTTCAGACCACACCGTGTATCAATTTCAGATGCTATAATTGACGGAAGAGGCTGTTTTTGTGGGCCATCATCAAAAAAACAAAAGTGAATTTCAGCTTAATATAATCATTGTGTTTTCTGGGAACATGGTACAGTATCACTGGGCTCCATCCTCTCTGTTTTCCTAGAGCTTGTTTTTGAAAAAAAAACCCGGTGAGTCAACATCCTCTCTCCTCTTGGACAAACACCCCTGCGTACGGCATTCCTTCAGCCCAGACACTCACTGCTCTGCAGCCTGAGATTTCATGCTGTTTTCATTTGCTCTGACATGGTGGGAGATGACGACAATATGCTGTACTCGCTTGTTGGCTGTACTGTTTCATCAGTGTGGATGTGGTGGTTGTAATTGCTCAACATACCCTGGAAAAACAACAAACGTTCAGAACAGGGTGATCTGCACCACTTCCTGTCTTTGGAGACAGGAAGAAGTTACCGTCTTCCTCTTTCTGTCAAACCACGCATGCATATCTACTGGTCTGCACGTTGTTACACACATCTATAGTTTTAGAGCTTTATTTCAGTGAAAGAAGCGATGCCTTTTTAAAAAATATTTAGCTGTTTCAATTTCTGGGAAAAGGTTTTAAACTGAAGCCACACTGTTTAAATATATAACCCCATGACACTTCCTGCCATTGTATTTGAGGACTTTCTCTTTCTTCCTCACACTCACTCACAACTGTCAGAGGTTTTATATAACAGCATGTCATTCCTTGACCCAGAAGCGGTGGTTCAGAAACAACGTGGGTTGGTCAGTGGGACTAATATAGTAATATATATATAATAACAGTAGTTTCACGCCAAAAATATTTTAGTATTTCATATTACAGATATTAATCATTTGATTTCCCCCGTTAATTATTTTTTAAAAAATAGTTTATATAGGACATTATTATACCAACTTTCCACAAGTGAGTCAAAAATCACCCACATGCATTCAATATGGAAATTAATAGGATGGTATTTCTGTCATGAATAAATGCTATACAGAAACTTACTTTGGATCACATCCTAACTGTCTTAATGTTCGGGAGATAGGTGGCTTGTGGAAAATGGTGCAATATTTACTTGGGTAACTATGGGGAAAACTAATCGGTCATAATCGATGAAAAAGTTCATGTTCACTTTTCCCGTTGGAGTTTATAACTCAGGACCTGCCGCTAGTCTCCTTTTAGCAGTTAGAAAACATTAGCTAGCTAACATTGCTGCAATATTGGATATATGCAATAACTGAGTAGGCTAGCTAGCATTTAGCTAAGTAGCAACTTGCTAACATATAGCCAATTAGGGCTAGCTTGCTAGTGTTTGACTAATTAGCTCATCTTCCTGTTGGGGTTTGCTTCATTTATCTTGATTAACACCAGGGTTGATTGACCTTTCGGATGGATATATGGAAATGCATGTGTCAATGCAGCACCAGAAGAAATAGTGGGTTAAATAATTTGTAAAAAGTCCCTTTATAACTACAGGAAACTGCCCTTAGTAGTGAAAGAAAGACATTTGCAGATTTTTCTACATATTTTAGCTAAGTAAGTTAGCTAAGTAGCGTAATTTGGCCTAATTGCTACAGTTTGACCTTTTACTGAAAACAGGTAGGGCTACAGGTGGTATTCTGAATTCTGAAATCTGACCTTTAAGTATAGTTTAGTAACATTTTATGTTTTTTCTCTCTCTGTGCATGTGTGTGTGTGTGTGTGTGTGGGTGAGAGAGAGAGTATAGATCAGACTGGAAGTGACTGAACGTTGGCAGGTGGTTCCTTATCTGACTTTGTGTCAACATAAAACAAAAACCCGTTTAATAACTGAGGTGTATCGTACACCATATGTAGCCTACATCCACTGTACATGTTTCACAACTTGAGTAAAATATCTCAAATCAAAGACAAATACCTTGAAAATGATTAAGTTTAATCCAGATTTTGTTCCTGATCTAATGTATTACTGGAGCTTTTAGAAGCAGGACATAAAAGAGAGAAATAGAGATGCAGAGTTTAAATAAAACACAGTCACATGTGTATTGTATTAGGACTAAGTCTACGACTACTAAGCTTACAAATGAGTCATTCATTCACCCCTAAATATACACTGATACTTGCCACATGCTGCTGTTGTGTTTCCTGTATAGCCTTAAAGCTAAATGGTCATGATTGCCTGACATATGAGCAGCACAGGAAAATAAAAGCACAGACTATTCACTGACAGAGACATTCACACCTGTCACTCGCTTAAACAGAAAATACATATACCGGTAGTGTGTGTGTGTGTGAGGTTACGTCCGTGTATGTGTATGTGTGGGGGAGTCATTTAAGGTCTTACTTTGTAACTGGAGATAGCCACATGAAGAGATATGATGAATAAAAGGTGTTGCTCCAGTAACTGTAAACTTTTGTTGACCCTGTAGGTCTGCAGTTACCCCCCTCCCCCTCAAAATTAAAACTAACAAAATAATAGTCCAATGATGCATCAGAGGCTGACACACCCTGGATTTTAGTCCAAAACATTATCCTACAATTCCCATAATGCAACTCATTATGCAACCTCTTCTATCAGACCTTCCATGTTGCATACTGATGCTTGGTCAGGACCAGGAGGTAACCTGCTGTTAAGTGCTTTCATCTTAAGTGTTACTACAGTTTTGGATACTGTTTAAACATGTTTAAAAAACTGTTAAAAACCTCCTTAGTTACACTCAAATACTCATCTTATCTGCTTCATCAGGACTGTGTGGGCGTTTGTTTGATCAGATTTTATTGATAGCACCTTGCAACAGTTGCAAACAAACCACACAACTGCCATCAGATATTGATTCAAACATTGAACTGTAACTGGAAATATGTAAATACATCCCCTTTTTTTCCAATTAAGGGCCTCACCCTCAACCAGCAAAAAACAACGCACACAAAAAAAATCGCAAAACAAAAATCTTTAATGTACAATAACCAAAAGACTTTGGAAGAAAATTGTTCATGTTGGACCTCATCGCTCATAATAAGAAGCTGATTGAGAAAACATGTTTTCAGAACCTTTAAGATATTCTTTTATGTCAGCAGCTATTTTTTATATCTTATTGAATCTTATTAATCAAGCACCATGCATGTTGAAATGTAATGGAAAACTTTTTATGGACTGTATCTAGGGTGGTTGATAAAATACAAAGCTGTCCAGCTCTTAAATAGGAGGTTTTGACTGTATAACCGAGACGTCCATAACGAGCTGCTGGGTGGAAATTATGAGCAGCAGTGTCAACAAAGAAGGCTGTAAAAGCCACAAAGAGACAATATGACCGTTAACGTATCAGCTCACTGCTGCTGCTGGGAAACAAAATGCAGAATCTTTACCTTAGATACTGATTATGAGGAGCGTTAGTGTACTGATTCACTCAAGTCACGCTGGACAGTTTCGTTTCCCCTTGATGGTGCTAAAATCACTCTTTTATGGACATTTTTAGAAGTAAAGGATTATTATTGTCTATAAATTTTGACCCTGAATATGTTAATTCTCACCTGTTGTCTCTCGAGGCAGGTGTCCAGTCTGGTGTCGTGCTTTCTCCTTTAACGGCACATTACCTGTTCTCTCTCTTTGTTAAACACACACAGGGACAGACAAACATGGAGATAATCACGTGCATGCCATGCTGTCTTTATTCAACCGTTGTGTTCTCTTATCTTTATGGTGGATTTCTGTCACATTTGTCAACCACATCCTGTGCCTTGACAATCCACTCATTCTCCTATATCACTATCAGGCACAACAGACAACAGGCCTCCCATACTTTAAGACACAACTTTTTGAGGAATATTTCTGCTTGACATGGGAATATTTCTTGCGTGGGAATAAGATTGGTGGTTTTGTCTGGTGCCTTTTCTGTGCAAGTGTTTATAGATGATGTGAGTGTTGAGCACAACCACCAAACCGCTTCCTTAATTTTAACAAACAAGAACATCTGCACTGATCCATTAATTTAACCAGAGGCACTAACGGCCCATCAGAAACTGTGACGCACGCCATGCTTGAGTAAGAGCACTCTGAGCTGTTTGACCACAGAGGCTCAACTGCGTCCTGCAGGGCCTTCTGCTTCCTCTTCTCATTTCACACCACTGACTGGCGGTTACAGGACCGGACTGGTCAGTACAGTTTTTTAGTGTCTGAAGACTGCAAATTCAGAAATCAGTCCGACCTCGGAAGTTAGCATCGCACTGGGTCCCGAGACAAAAAGCCAATGGGACTTTTCCCATTGGCTTTTGGATGACTGCAGAAAATGAGCTCTTTGGCTTTCTTATCCTGCATTATGCTCCTCAACAAAAACGAGGAAAGACATTTTCACTTTTGGAAATCAATTAGTCAATCGACAGAAAATGAATCGAGCAAAAGCAAAAATGCCAAACATTTCATGGTTGAACGTTCTTGGTCATATATTATTGTGGAGTTTTTGGACAAGACATTTGATAACTCTAAAATATGGTGTTCACCGTTTATTAATTATTTGTAGCCATGATCTCCATCTCCACTAAATGAAAGTGCTCTCTCTTTTTAGCTGTCATGAATGAATTTTCTGTTGCAGTATTTTGCTTTTAAACACCAGTATGTCATTTTGTTGATCGTTTTCTTTTGAGAACACCTGGAGAGAAACTGATTCAGCCTTTCAGAACTAAATAAGTAATCATACTTGGAATAGTGGGGGGAAATCCACTCAGGAAGCAGACACTGACCTCCATCTGCAGTTCAAACTCAAACACACTGCTGCAAAACAAATTCACCGCATAGTCTTTGGATCAACAGTGGTGTTTTAGCAGTCAGGCAACATCCAAACATTTGAAACAGTATTATTGGCTAGCCATCCCCCCTATACTAATGGCCCACTGGGCTAATTGCTGAGCACCCTCCTTGTTTAGGCATTGTCTCTGTTAAATGGCCCTTTCAAACATTGTTTTTAGTGTACCATCATCTTGAATAATTATCCCCTCGTTATGCATTCTGCCCAGTCGCTCTAAACCCATGTTTCAAGCCCCGGCGAGCTTGCATGACAATCCCTTATGTCACCCCCTCCCTGCTTTTCCTTAATGGGCCCACGACAGTCGGAGGGCTCGGCTCTAACACATGGCCACATACCGTCGTTCACCATCATCAACACTCCTGACGCATCTGTGAATGAGCGGCAGAGGACAAAAGAGATCAACGCTGGAGAGAGTGACCACCATGACCTCATGGGTCAGCTGGGAGCCAGGAATGAAAAGACTCCAACAAACCCCCGTCCAACACACACACACACACACACACACACACACACACACACACACACACAGTGAGCTCTTGGACAACTGAAGCCACCATGGGAATATGCGAGCGTGGAAGAATCAGCATTCGTTTGCAGGAGCTGAAAGAAAGCGGTTGCGTTTGGAATTTTGGGTCATGCCTTTCTCCGCACATTCCTCACTATCATCCCAACAATAAGCTGTCTCATAGCCGAAACAACAGCCTCCCTTCTGGATACCTCGCACCACAAAAAGCCTCAAACCATCCGAGGCCAGACGTTCACCTCCAGAACTCGAGTGATAACATTCTTAAAATGGAGGAAGAGTTGTGGAACCTTGAAGGCTTGCTATATTTAAAAGTATCACATGGAGTAGGACACATCTCTATAGGCGAAAATTACAAACAGATTGTGTGTACACTCGAGGTCTTTGTGCTAATTTAAGTTTGGCAGCTACAATTCCCACAAACAGTTGTGGCTTGTGGAATAAAAAAAGCTTTTCTTACAAGTTCTGCACAAAATAACGAGAGTAAAATCTGAAAATGAACATTTATTTTTAGGAACCTTAGACTTCGACGAAAAAAACAAAAGAGGATCAATATGAATCATCTAAAGTAGATATCACAGTTGTCTCTTATTAAATGTCACGTTGCAGAATGACAAATTGTAACGGTCATTTCCCTCAGATGTCAAAATAAAAGTTGGTGCATGCAGTAAAAACTGAAAAATCCTTCATTCTGTACAGTTACATGTTAAAATAAATAAATAACTTAAAGAACAAAAAGGAAACAAAAGTTATTTACAGCTGTGAAACATTGAGGGCTATAACGTAGCCACATGATCATTGGTCAAACATGGAGAAGTGCAACTGTATAGCCATACACTTTGGTCTCTGCTTTTTTCTTTGGCAATTTAGTTCGACAGTCAGTGGTGCTTTTAAGTCTTTGGGTCTGCAAAGTTGAGGTGAACAGCTCCGTTTGCTGCTCACAGTTTGCTCTCCTCCTCCTCCAGCGGTCGGTTCAAGCCCGGGATGAACTTGAGGAGGCGCCTGCGGAAGCTCTTCTGTTTGGGCTTCCTCTGCAGCGAGTTGAATCCTCCCTGCTTCTCCCCTGAGGTGGACGACGGCGACGAAGATCCCCTCATGTAGCTGCGAGTGCTGGCGCTGCGGGTCAGCTGCGTCTTGGCTGGCGTGAAGAGCTCGCTGGCCGGTCGGAGCCGCTGCTGCGGTTTCTGCTGCTCTTTCTTTTCGTCTGCGGTGGCGCTGACCGAGTCCACGCTGCGGTCCACCGGGTACATGCAGGTCTGGTAGAGAGGGTCGTCCTCGGTGGCCGTGCTGAGAAAGCTGGCGCTGCTGCTGGTGCTGCCGGTGCAGTGGAGAGCTCTCCGAGTGGCGGGGCTGGGAGTGCCGAGGCTGCCGTACACCCCTGCTGACTCCAGGGACTCGTAGACCGCAGCATCGCTGAGCACTATGCCTACAGGAGAGAAGGGCAGAGTTAAGATGGTGGACACATATTTAACTAAGTATCAATGAACACAAAGGCATGCAGGAAACTATTCAAACCGCAGAACAGGGGATTTCTTAGTTTTGGAACATGTGAATGTTTGTTAGCTTGTTAGAATGTTGTATGTACAAGCACGTAAAAGCAGCATTGACACTCAGTGGGTTATTCTGGTGAAATAAAGGAAAATTAACTAATAAAGACATAAAATCTACCATGAACAAGCCTCTGCTCCTGCACCATCAACGACCGATATTCATCCCATTTCTCGTGAAGAGTTTGCTACAAAAGAAAGTCAGAGATATGTTCAACGATTGACAACAAAACCACAACAAACAGGCTGTAGATCAATTCATGAAAAATTACTTTCACCATGAAGAAACGTGTGTACAGTTAAAAAATGATGCTACAAAAGGTTTGCACAAGTTCATTAACACTATAATGGGTCAACAGTTTGCAGCTCATGTATAACAGACGTTTCAACAAACTTTTCAAAGCAACAAAAAAACAAAAAGCCATATTATCCGTGTCGACACTGCAGGTGCATTGGCCACCGTTACCTAATGAGTCAAGGGGACAGTATGTGTCAAACAGAAAAACTGTACCGACAAATACCAGGAAGTGCTTCAGCCAACAGGAAGATGACATACCAGAGGGCTTTCCCAAATACCACTAACTGACATGCAACTTCATACGAATATGATTGTAACCGTTTTTGTTTTTTCTTTACCAGGGTACCATTTGTGGGGGATGATTTTGAAATATTATATTCACAAGAATGTATCATGACCCAAAGTGGGCCTATAAAAACTGCCAAGCCTGTTTATTAAGCTGTTGAAGTAACATTTTTAAAATAATTGTGAACTTTAATAAAACAATTTCAGAACTTGAACCTTAACCACTGCATATGCAGAAACATTTGATTATTTATATACTCTCTTGCCTTGTCCTTTCCTCTTGCGGACACATAGAAGATACGATCATTCACAGAAAAACAAAAGGTTGAATGCTAATTTAACATGCTAAAATTAAGTTCCCCCCCCCTTTCAGTAACATGGATAGCACCACTAAGTGATGAATAAATGTTGTTCCTGCGTGTTGAGCAGAAGGCTCATCTTTAAAACGTTAGATTAGTATCTCAGAGAGCGGCTGTGTTGCAGCTCTCACACACTGGTGGATTAGAGCGGGACAGCTGCTGTAATCTCTGGGAGAAAGCTGGCAGCTTTTTAACAGCCACGGGTTTGAGAATGTCTGCAGAGTTCAGTGAACTGTTGCTGATGCAACAGGTGGTGCTGTGGGGGAGACAGGTGTGGATGTGTGCGTGTGGGTGGGTGGTGGACATACACAAACAGGCCGACTCACTGCTGACAGTTAGTGAAAAACTGCTGCAGCAACAGTAAAAAAAACAAAAAACACTCACCTTCAGATACTGCCGCCGGGCTTCCAGCTCCGCTTTTCGGATTGAGTCACTGTAAACCGTCTCCAGCCTTTAAGCGTAAGACCAGAAGGCAATTGAGTTATTAGGCGTAGCGGGAAGCACTTATTAAAACAACAAGGGTAGTAAATAGCGATAAAAAAAAACAAAAAAACATGAAAGACTCTTTTCATAAGACGAGGCGGGAATGAGTCTGGTGTCAAACAGTTTACAAGAGACGGGGAAGGATAAGGAACAAATACAATTTCCACTCAAGACACTTTAGTGAACCAACTTCTTTGAATTACATGAGTGGGTAAACAATTTATGGCGCTCGTGTTCACTTTAACAGTTTACACAGACTCCAGTTGTGAGGGTAATTTGATGATGTCAATCTGTAAAATCGCTGCCTACTCTGCCACTCTGACGCGGTTCACCTCACGTTTTTAGCAGCAGCTCTCGAGGCCTCGCTAATTGTCCTTTTAATCTTTTACAAGCAGAGGAGGAGGATGAGGAAGAGAGTGTGGGTGACAACTCTTTTTTTAGCTCAATAAAATGAAGTAAAACAGGACACTTAAAAGAATGTTATCTCAGGGCTTGAACTTCTTTTCCCCTCAATCTTCACACAATAATATCCGGCGCTTTTCAAGTGAAAAACGGTGTGAGAGACGGTCTGAAAATATGCGCCATTATCCCCATATTCCCTATCTGTGCTGACCGGCTTTTCACCCTGCTTGTGGCCATTAATATAAATACTTTTTCAAATTGTTGTATCCTTCTTTCCAAGCAAAACCTGCCTAATCTGTGAAATGTCAATTTCTCACAGGCTGAGGCAACATTTTCCAATTGCTAACTTTGACTGACCGGCAGCCCATAACACAAACAGATGCAAATGACTAAATATATGAAGTTAGAAGCAAGTCCTCACATTTCAGAAGCAAAAACCAGCAACTGTAAAAAAAAACAAAAAACGTTTTGCTAAATTACTAAACCAGTGGTTCTCAACGTTGAAAGAATTCATTCCTATGACTTAAAGTTTTATTAACCAATCGTTAAAACTTGTAACACAAACTCGAATTTGATTGATATAACAATATCTAGAACATGGCCCTCCTCTTACTCATACGTTTGCTGTCTCTATTTTGAAGTTAATTGAGTTGTTTGCACAATGAGCGTCACACGTCCCTCTTGTAATCGACATTATGTTTTCCTTTGAATAAATCTTTATAACATCCTAGTTCAGCAGAACACTCTTGTTCGGCTTTTGTTTCCACACAAATCAGATTCTTTCAACTTTGCGTTTTCAATTATCAAATTGCTTCCAACTTGTTGTCAAATCAAATCTTTGTTTGAGCTCTAAATTAAATGGAACATGTTCATTAATGAATTAAAACGCGAAAGCATTATTAACAATTAACAATGATTGAGTCAACAATTGATCCGTGTACCTGAGTGTGTTGCCGCACGCCCGGATGAGCTGAACAATCTCCTTGTGCCGAAATCCCTCCACGGTGGCCTCGTTCACACTCGCGATGGTATCCCCTGAACACACACACACACACGCACACACCGTCTGTTAACCAGCAGCATCCAGGATGCACTTCAAATCGGCTATGGCTTGAATTACTGCAAGATGAAGCCAACTGAGGCTTGTTTGATTCCAAATGAAACCTCGACACATGTGCAACACAAATGTGGAAGCCGCGTGCAGTCGTGGCACACGGCTCGTTAATGAACTGAAGCTGATTCCAACGTGTTAAAGCCTTATTTGTTTTCTTTATCTGCGAGACTCTTATTGTTCCACATCAGACTTATTAGATGTGGTGTGGACTCTCATGCGTGACAGGAGCCTTTATGGAGGGTTCAGCACAAAGAACTATTTTCCCCCTTTCAAAAACCACCGCCTATTCTGCTTAATGCGCTCATCGCTGTGTTCGCAGCGAGACACAGGGAACAATAGAGCGAGCATGTGAGGAATGTAGGAAGTGAAACTGAAGTGACATACGCAGGTTGGATGAAGGAAGGAGGCGGAGGATCACCTTCCTCCTTTTTTTGGCACACTGATGGAGACATTAACGCTGAGAGCGGCCAGCTTGTGACTGAGCGGTCATGAGTTTTAAAAACCTGAGGTAATAGAGTGCTGCAGCGGTGACATATTTCTGTAGGCCAGCCCGGAAGTTAGTGTCGCCCTGGTTCCCTCGACAGAGAGCCAATGGGATTTTTGGATTATTGGGGGGAAAAAAGTTCTGTGGCAAACAAACGTATATGATACTTATAGGTTTTGTTCAGCAAGATAATCTTCACAAATGAACAGCACTTTTATGATTTTGGAAGCGTGAATAGAATCACCAGAAGTAAAAAGATAACCAACTACACGAGTCACATGACTTCACATCACCACCACTAAGCTAAAGGCGGACTAGTGTTCAGGTGATGACATTTAGTAGTCTCATTTAGCAACCGCCTTTCTTGAGACACAGAAAAGCTTCAAAATTTAGTGACATATTTATACAAATTCATCTCACTTTCACAAATATTTACTTATAAATATTTCTACTTTTAAAAATCACTGTTTCACGCACTTGTTTCTATCGTTGTGTTTTTTTCATTTAAAGATGCACATAAGGAAACAATTAATGTTTGCCAATTAAAATAACACTTTTTACATTTTAGAGGTTGTCTAACCTTATTGACTATCTGGCACATGGGTGAGAGGAGCTGGCAAATACGTGTCATTTTGTTGACTGGAAAATGAGCAGGCAAACAGTTAAATTTGTACTTCCCTAAACAGCCGGCCTAAAACACGCGGGTGCTTTTGTTGACGTACGGTACACGAGCATTAGCTGGCAGACACAAAAAAAGAGGACGAGCTGAACCAAAAAAAATAAATAAAAACTCCTGACACGCTCACTTCCCCTCATGTCTATTACGAGTGTTTGCCCAGGTCTAAAATAAGTCCTCCATATAAAAAGGAGAAACACAAACTCACCAACTTTAAGTCCTGCCTGTTGGGCCGGGCTGTCATCGTGCACCTTGCACACAAACGTGCACATCTCCACTGAGTTTTGGTCTTGATGGTGCAGCCCGTAAGTCTGAAAGAGACACAACAATAGCTCTGAAAACATTTGAATACTTCCTTCTACTTTATGTATAGGTCTGTCTCACACAATGGGATTGATGTCAACAGTTTTGAAATAATGTGGCCATACACAACACTAGACTGATAATGGCGAACTGAGGAAGCCGTGACGGACAGGGCAGGAAGGCAGATCATATCACTGAACATGCAGAGACGTGGCGCAACCGTTTGGTTCTCTTGTCAGACTGAACAGGAACTGCTGGTAGACTTTCAACATTAAAGAACAGGTTCACATATTTTAAAAAAGTACCGATATGCCCACATGTGCTTTGAAAGTCACTGTAATTGTTCCTTCCGTCCATAAATGCCTTCTGAATGCAGTTTGACTGTAAGAGATGGGGGAGAAACGCCTCTATTCTGTGATGAAATATACTCCAAAGTTGCACTAATGACAAACGTTCAGCTAAAAATATGTTTGAGGCTTCAGCAGAGTTAGTCTTTTTGTGTTACAATCCCTTTCAAGAAAACACACTATGAACCCTTTTTGTCACTACAAATTTCTGTCCTTGTGCTCAATCAATAAAGGCGTATCTTATTTTAAACTGAACTTAGGAATGCTTTTTCCCCCAAGTATTTCTACATAAACAATAAAAAAAATGTACTTTAGGAGGGGATCTCTTGGACGGGGGGGGGACAATAACACTCATAACAAAGTTCTCAAGCTAACAAGATACCACCTCCCTTATTATGTATCTAATATTTTGTTGTCTTGGAAACCCTTTTATTGTTACTTCCACATGTATTTGCATGCACTTCCTTGTTTCGGTCCGCATTGTCTGTCTGCAGAAGGTCAGACCACTGCAGGCCACAGATAGACTTCCCCTCGTCACGCGACCATCAGTCAGTCAATACGCGATTGAAGCGGTCGAGTTCCGTTCGCTCAACAAACAAGCTTCAACGTTTCCATCGGCTATACTCAAGTTGCTCTTATTGAGACATGGATCCAACTTGGAGGAATGTCTTTTATGGAAGATTTGCAATGATTCAGATCTGCCTGGCTCATTTTCATCTCAGCTGCCTGAAAGATAAACATTAACCATGCAAATATCGTTGGAACGCAAATATAAAATTTGCATGCTATGATCCTCAACTCCACATTGGTGTTAACATAACAGGCACTGAGGGAGGGAAAGCTTCAAAATTCTCTCTCTCTCTCTAACGTCAAACTGGCCTTCGTGATCTCACTTCCTCCTGGCCGCGGGCAGGAAGGGCGCGAACCTCCGTCGAAACCATAAATAGAACAATATGTCTTTTCCTCGAAGCAGTTCTCCACTCGCAGAAAACTCAAACAGGCCATGTCAATATTGAACCATTTCAGGAAGCTATTTAAAGAAAGGGGTCCGCATGACAGAGCCGACATTGTGAGGTTGCGGCGCTTCAAGGCGGCCGAGGGAGATTGAGGTCAAATGAGTGAAGCGTCGGCTTGCTGAGAGGGTGAGAGTGCGGCAGGTATTACATGGGAAGTGTGTGAGCAAACCACACTGCTCAAAATACAGACGCTGGGAAAGAAATAACAACATCTCTTCTCTCGAGTCATGGGACTAACACTAACACAGTTATTTGACTGATGCGTGACCTTTCACCCCCGCCAGAGCAGGCAAATGCTGGGATTAAGAGATTTACAGGATACGATGTACACAAGTTTCAGCATCTGTCGACAGCGATGTGGCCGATCAGGGAAATCCTGTTAAATGGCACTCGAGAGGCTACCAAATCCCCCCACCCCTTTGGTATACATCGCTATTAATCCTCTTACCTGGATCTCAAAACCAAACGACTCCTCTTCATTTTTCTCCAGGACCACCACCTTTCTGGAACGGGACAGCGATTGTCATTTTAGGTATATACTGCAGCTTTCACAACTCCTCCTCTTACTCAGACATCCCAAAAACTTCTTTCAAAATCAATGTGAGCTGTGTGATGAAGTGGGCAATCTATACAGTAAAATCTATTTTGAGAATCAGTTGATCGTTCAAGGCATTTTTTCAAGCAAAAAAATATTGTACATTTAATGGTTGCAGCTGTTCTCAAATGTGAGAACTTACCATTAAAAGTGGCATTTTACATTGTAGTGTCAAGAGGTGAAAAAGCACAAAAAGGCATGTGATAAATGCCGAAAAAATTAATCAGCGACCATTTGGGTAGTTAATTAGTCGTGTTAGTAAAGATGTAAAGATGTAAAATATTCACTGGTGTAATTGTAACCTGAATATTTTCGGGTGTTGGATTGTTGGTCGGACAAAACAAGACATTCGATGAAGTCATCCATCTTAGGCTCTAGGATCTTGTGTTTGGCATTTTTCAATGTTTTCTGACGTTTTTTTAGACCAAATGATGTGAGGAATCAGTGGAGTTACACTTTAAATCAAATAAATCTGGGATTTTATAGCCTATCCGTCACCTTTTACGGCTCGTGGTAATGATGATATTGACTAAGACTAATTTATAAAACAGCATTTATGTACATAATGCAAGGCGAGGATGAAAAGGAGGTCAACAAGATGTTTACGTCCATCTCTGGATTCCTCTCTTCCACATCTAAATTGCATTACGAGAACTCTCTTCTGGCTGCACAGGACTTCTTCTGTGTCCGGCAGCATCTAGACGTCACAGCTAAACGTACAGTACGGCGGTCTGTTGGGCCTAGACGGATGTCAACACAGCGTCTCTCATGACGGGGCACCGAAACGCATGAAAATTCATGACGACCCTCGAAGAATAACGTGCGTAACAATGGCTGCCATCATTGTGGATGGATGTTTGAATGAGGGCCTTTCACTGGGATGAGGAGGCTCACTTGTAATGAGGAATGAGACGATGTAGGATTCAATAAAAAAAAAAACTCAATACGTTGATCGTGGTGAATTTCTATCATCGGGATAATGCTGAATATCCTCCTCACATGAGTGATTGTCTGGCTCGCTATCGTGGACGAGAGAAGTAATAAATAAAGCCTAATTAAAAACTACAGGAATGTTGCCATTTTTAAAACGCATGTATGTATCCTGTATGCAGGGGGAGCTTGTGATTTATGATTCTCTTATTTAAGATTGATTGTTTTTCAAAAAAAAAAAAATAGATGCGTCATATGTGTGACCCAATGAGTCAATCCTATATCTTAGATAAAGTGATTCCAGTATGTTTTAGTGTCATTTTAGACATATAAGCACATTTTGATGACTTATTGAGATGTCAGGAATCTTAATTACTTTGGCCAGGATAACTGTGGCATGAAATATTCCTCTCGTCCCATGCCTACTTGTGATCATTCTTAGGATGAAGAAGAAAAAATCAGAGTACAGACAGAAGAATCTAGAGTGTACGCGCGTAATGAGGGATTGTACCTTTGTGGTTCTGGTGTCAGTGTTAAGGGTTTCCACTTCTGCAGCCCGCCGCCCTGCGAGGAGAAAACGAAACAAGACATGAAGCGTGGCAGACACCTGCATGAGGTTAATGCAAGATTACTCATGGGGGTTTCTCTCCCCCCACCCCCGAAATTTCCCTGACACACCTTCTGTAGGCTACACACCAGTGCATCAGCCAGTTCATCGAGTCCTGAAGCGGCACACGTGCGTCGTTTGTTGCGTTTGTCTTTTCAAGCCACTCAGCCACATTACGCCGGTGTGGAAACTTCAGAGGCGAAACCAGAAATGCGTGTCCGGCTGTTTGTTTACTTCACACAGCCACAACATCTTAAGAGAATCTAAATTTAGCCTCAATTTCACACAAACTCTGCTGCCTTCAGGCCCTCAAACTGTTGACCTGTGTGAAACTTTTAGGTCATTTAGAGCAGTTTGTACAAATTCCAGCCTATTAAAGAAACAAATAAGACACGCTGGGCTAAAATAACTACCACAATGACTGCATTGAGTGAAAACTCAAGTCAACAGTAGGTCAGGACTCGGCCCTACCTGACTGTATAAATAAGGAAGGTATCTGTCCAGAAGGCTCCACTAAATCACTTACAATCAATCCTCGTCTGTTCCAACTCGATCATTTTCAAATGATGCCCCTATGAAAGGCTGCTTTGTGCTACGGTCTCTCTGCGCAGTAAAATGTTGCTTTCTTTATGTCCCAACACTTACAGAATTGTTCCGCTCCCGTCTCAATGAGTGCATTTATTCCCAAGTACCCTCAGAGGCCGACGGGGGCGGCTGGAGCGAGATCTCTGAGCCTGTGTGTGCACAATGCCTTGTTGTAGCCACTGCACACACTATGTATGTATGTAGGTTTGTGGATAACTGTGCCTCTCCTCACTGTACACTGTCACAATAGTCTGTTATCAACTGCTTTCCCACTGGCGGTGCCAGAAACCCCAAAGGAAGTAAAGATACAGAGTTGTATAAAAGCTTTATGAGGGACACAATAGTTAGGAGAATGAGCCAGTTGACCCACAAGCCACGCAAACTTTAAGCCTGTTTTATGCAACAGCGGCTGAAGCTGGTGTCATTCTGGACCATTGGAGGAGGGGACGTCAGTTCCTGCACTTCGTTCTTCAATTGTGGCTTCACTGATCCAGGCTAACATATTGTTATCACGTTAAAAGTTTTGATTTGTTCATCTTGGATGAAGCAATCTTCAGTACGCTCTTATTTTGAAATAAAGGCAATATGGAACAGAGTTGGAGTAAGTTATGTGTAGTCAATCTGATCTCTTTTTTTTTTTTTTATTCCCCATGTTAAGGTCAATGTTAAATTACTTTATAATAATAATAATAATTTTGGTCTTTTGACAGTCAAAACATATTTATTTTAATTGTTGTCTTTGTGCTCATCCCCATATTGTATATTGTCGCAAGTATTAGTACCACTTAATTGAGAAAATTAAACTACACCAAATGTTTTTAATCGGTTCTCAATTACCTACATGTATATTTCCTCATCCGTCAAAGGAAAGGAGTCATCCGTCAGTGAATTAACCAGAACTTGTTGCTCATATCGCATCCTCCTCGTTTGAATCTGTTCTCATATGAAGCCCTGGGCCCTGAAGTACCTGACCCATCATAAATCAGAGCCAGTGTCTGGGTGGTCCACACTTGCCCCTGGATGTGCTTCTGTTGACCTTTAGTGAAGATGCTCTCTGGAGATGAACCGTGAACCAGCAGAGCGTCCCAAACATTTTCAGATCAAGAATAAGGATGGAACGATTATTAAAAAAAAAGACCACTCACAATAAGTTGATCATGGTGAATTTCTATTTTCTGCATAATCATGAATATCTCCATGAGTGACTTGAAAAAGCTGTCTGGCTCGCCATCATGGTAGAGAAATGAAAGATAGAGCCCGATTTAAAATAAGACTTTTATTGTGTATACTTTATCTATATATATCTATAGCTATAGATATATCTATAGATATATCTATAGATCT